GGTAAGCGTTACCACTGCTCACTAATTATGCTGGCCCTCGGCCTTCAACACCTGCCACAGCGCTCTCCTCTCTGCCATGGCAACAAGCAACATTGCAGGGTTGCTGCTCCATCAGCCTGAGTCCTGGGGTGAAGGTGACAAGGAGCAGGCCATTGGCTAGCCCACAATGGACATGTAATATGAACAAAAAACGTTATTGTTTTAAGCCACTGGGTTTGGGGTATTGTTTGTTACTGCAGCATAGCCCAGCCCATCCAGTCTAATGCAGGCTAATATTTTCAAAGTACAGAGCTTCACAAAATGCCTCAACCCCCCACCCCATGACTTAAAATGAGTTCTATCTGCAGAGGTAAAGATGCCCACTGCCCTATTTCACAAGGAGAAAGAAAGAAGGAAGTGTGCTTGCGCCCAGCGATCCTCAAGAAACATCCGATGCCTAGGCAACCAAGGAGGAACAAGACTAATGCTTATCTGTGGATAATGGTCAGGTGTGGGCAGCTCTGGTGTGGATGGTTGTGGAAAGGCTTCCGAGGATGGCAGTTCTGGGCCAGAGGAAATGGTACAAATAGAAAAATACTGTCACCTGCATCTGAATCTGCTTTCCAGGACACTCGTTCGCTGTTTCATCTTTCTCCTTCCATACACCGAGATGATCCATCCTATACCCAGTGGGACCAGAGAGGCCAAGGGACTTGCCCAAGATTGCACAGCAAGTTACTGGCAGTCAGCCAAGGCTTTCACTATGGGGCCAGTGTCCTTCTACCATGTGCCGAGAAACAAGGCTCCAGGAAGGTGGCTTTGGAGGAAGGTCAACATCCCCATGGCCCTTCCCAGAGCTTGGGTGATGTTCCTGTGCAGGGTCCTGAGGACTCTCAACACTGGATGAGTTCTCACCAGGTTCTAGTGAACTTGGAGGTCCTCTGGCTTCTGGAAGGTGGGGAGGGGGGGAGGAGGGGCAGGGCTGCAGGGTTTTGGCTCCTGAATGCTCCCAGGTCTACAAGCTTCTCATCCAGCACCAGCATCCTGGGCACGGTCCTTCACCCTCTCACTACCATTTCTCCCGCTCACGAGTTCCCCAACCCTGGACTCCATTCTCTCACACACAGGTAACAAAGCCTGCGGGGGACTGACACCCACCCATTATGGGTTGAATTGTGTCCTCCTCAAATTCATATGTGGAATTCCTAAGTAACTCCCAGAACCGCAGAATGAGACCTTATTTGGAGATAGGTCTCAGAGACAGATAATCGAGTTAAAATGAGGTCATTAGGCTGAGCCCTAATCCAATATGGCTGTGACCTTATAAAAGGGGGAAATTGGGGGACTGACACCCACAGGGGGAGGACTCCATGTGGAGAATGGTTATGTTGCCACAGGCTAAAGAACTACCAGAAGTCAGGGAGAGGCCTGGAACATCTGTCACACCCTCAGAAGGAACCCACCTGCTGATACCTGGATCTCAGACTTCTAGCCTCCAGAGCTGTGAGACAATAAACTCGTGCTGGTTAAGCCACCAGCTGTGGTGCTTTGTAAGAGCAGCCCTAGGGAATTCATAACTGCTGCCCCCTGCCAGCCTCCCCTCCCCTTCTCCCAGCCCAGATCTGCCCACCCTGCTCAGGCCCACTCCACGTCTTTGCTGATGGGGCTCCCTCTCCCATCCACTCCAACAACGCCCTTCCATCAACTCAAACCCCATGAAGCCGCGAGGGATCACAGCTCACAGCATTCTCTCCTGCCTGAGTTTGTGTGGCCTGTCTAGCCGTTCCCACATTCCTCTCCGGCTGTTCTCTAATGACTTCCTGTACATTAGACTTGCCTTCCCAACAAGACAGTAGGATCCACGAGGGCAGGAGCTGTTTCTGACATTCTGTCGGCAGCACAGCGCTGTGGGTGGCCACAGCAGGTATTAAGAACCACTGGGCTGCCCTAACCAGTTTGGCTCAGTGGATAGAGCGTCTCGTCTGCCTGCGAACTGAAGGGTCCCAGGTTTGATTCCGGTCAAGGGCATGTACCTTGGTTGCGGGCATATCCCCAGTAGGGGGTGTGCAGGAGGCAGCTGATCGATGTTTCTCTCTCATCAATGTTTCTAACTTTCTATTCCTCTCCCTTCCTCTCTGTAAAAATCAATAAAATATATTTAAAAACAAAACAAAACAAAAAAACTACTGGGCTGAAACACCCTTCCCAGGCACCCCCCTTCACTCTTCCCTGTAGCTGATTTCTCAATAACACTTGGTGAGTGGGCGTGGCCAAAAAGACAGCCTCTCCTCTTTATCCTGCCCTACTTTATAAAGACGCCTGTCAAAGCAGCTACAACACTCGGTTGCACATATTTTTGTACCAGATCTTTTCCTTCCACTAGGCTGCAAGCTCCTCCAGGCAGCATCGACTTCTCATGTGCGTGCATAACCACTGCATTTGCAACAAGTGTAAACATGAGCATATGGCCGAAACGACTGACCATGGGTCCAAAGACCCTGTAAGCGTTTCAAAGGATCCACGAACCCCTGAAATTGTGTGCAAAGGGCCGTGTGCATGTGCATGTTTACATATGTAGTATGCATTTCCCCAGGTAGAGAGTCCATGGATCTCTGAGAAATTAAAATAAGAGCCAAGACTAAAAAAAAAAATGTTAAGACCCAAAGCTGCAGAGGAGGAAGCTGACATTTATTAAGCCCCTATCCTGTGCCTGATGGTTTAGGGATTACTATCCCCATTTTACATGAGTGGAAACTGAAGTTCAGAGAGGTGATGTCTTGCCTATTCCAAGTGGTTCAGAGCAGACTCTGGAGCTACTAGTAGATAGCCTGGGTTCAAATTCCACTTTTACTGCTTTCCAGCTCAGTTACAGCGCGTTTAAGTATATGGACCAAAATCACACAGCTAGAAAGTGGTGATCTTGGCCAAGTTACTGAATTGCTCAGTTTCCCGATCTGTAAATTGGAAGTAGGAAGGGTCCCTACCTCATAGGCTGTTGAGAGCAGCTGATGTGTTGATGGATGTAAAGTGATCAGAATGGTGCTTGGACTCTGCAGAGGATGGTGATGAGGGTAAAGAGGAAGGAGCTGGGAGCGGCAGAGCTGAGATTCAACCCAGGCCTGTGTGCCTCTTGCCCCTCTCTATCACCACTCCCAGCCTCAGCGCGCCACAATGCCCCCTCTCCCTGCCGAGACCCTCCTGCTCCCTCCTAGGAAAAGCCTCCCGTCCTGAGGAGTGTGGCTTCCTGGGAGGACGGGCCGTGGCCACCAGCTTGGCAGGCAGTGCCCGGCAGTTACATAAGGAGCAGGCGGCAGGTCATGAGCTGCCTTCCCAGTCAGCAAGACCGAGCCTGCGCAACCAGGACACTTAGCGCTCCTGCCCTGCTCTTCATTTTCCAAGAGCTTGACCAGCATCCACTACTGGAAATTAGAAGGGGAAGGTGCTCACCCATTCCTGGGGCCCCGTGCTGACATCCGAACTCCATTCATGATTTCCCTGAGTCCGTCACTGCGCCCTGAGCTCAGAAGGGCCGCGCACACCCATCCTGCTCCCTCTTCATGGCTCCATGTCCCACCGGCAGCCTGACCCTCACTCCACTCCAGGCAAACAGAGTGACAGCTGTAAAGTCTTGATTCTGACCTCACCTCTACACCTGGGTCCCCATAGTAACCCCATCCCAGGTGAAGCACTGACCACGGCCTTGGCCCAGCCCAGTCCTCTGCACTGCTTTTTGAGTTTGCGTTGGGTTAGTATCTTTGTATTGTTCCTGCAAAACCATCAGTATTGACCCCATTTGCCGGAGCATTTTTCATTCATTCCTGTAATGCAATTAGAATCGAGTTTCTCCAGCATTAGGGGAGATGTAACAACAGTAGGGGAAAATTGTCGTTTCATTCCCAACATCAACACGCCCACTCTGCCCAAATTCTCTCTCTGGTGCTAGCTCGCTCTACCCACCCAGATGGCAAGGAGAATACTAACAAGGAGAATCACTCTTCAAATCTGCCTCCAAATGCAGAGGCAGAAGCTGTGTGGGCGGCCTCCCCTCAGTAATTAAACGGGGGCTCCAAGCTTCTCTGACAGTGTCCTGCTATTGAGGAAACCTCCTAATGCCCACTGGAGAGCCCCAGACGGGTCCCCTCCCACTGGTCAGAGGTGTGTGGGGAGAGTCCATTAGACTCCAGCAGGGCCCTCAACCATTCTCCCAGAGAGGGTCAGCGACTTGCCCAAAGCCACATGCCTGGGAAGCTGAGGCCAAAACCCTGACCTGCAGGCTCTTACTCCTGGGTGTCTCCCAGTGTACCACACTGCCCCCCACTCAGAGGGCCTGCAGCTTCCAGCAACTCAGCCCTGGTCCCCAAGGCTTCAGTTTACTGAGCCACTGCAGACAAAAAGGGAAAGAGGGAACAAGTGTCTTCCATGAACCAACATTTTCCTTGGTGTATTCCAGTTCTTTTTAGAAACCTTCCCACTTCCTGGAATAGGTCCCTTGTGATGTCTTACTCTTGCCATCCTCCTTCGAGGTACCATGATTTTGTCATCCAATAATCAAGCCTGCCTTCCTTCCGCCCATCCATCCATCCAACCATCATCCATCCATCATCCATCTATCTCTCCATTCATTTATCCACTCAGCTTCCCTTCCATCCAACAAAGCCTTCTTGAGCACCTACTATGCCCTCAGCTCTGTGCCAAGCACTCAGCACTTCTTTCCCACTGCTCCCCAGAGCGCCCACTCCAGAAATGTCCACTTCTCTCCTGAACCCTTCAGAGCCTAGGCCTGACTCGCTTCCATCAACCCTCTTAGGAGGTTGATCTGACAGACAATTCTGTGCTAATGTACTCGCATTAGACCCATTGTTCCCTCCGAGCTGGCAGCAGGCAGGGACTTCGGAGTTCTGAGGTCAGCTGAGACCTGGGGCCCAGGCCCCAAAAGACAGCTCTATCTCTTTCCCCTCAGTACCCCCCCACACTTCCCTCCCACCCCCACTGAGGCCAGAGCAGAGGCAGCCCCTACATACGTATGCAGAAGTCTCCATTCTCGTAGTAGCCAGGGCAGCACTGGGACCTCCGCCGGTACATGGTCCGGAGGCCACGCCGATACGCCGTCTTATAGCTGATCCTAAGGCACAGGGAGAAAGCCACTTGAAAGTATTGAAAATCAATCACTCCTGTTAGAATGATATTTGTGTTAAGCTCTATTGAGGATGCCATTCAATAATCACTTTAAAATGCATGGTGGCTTCGAATATGAAGGAACACAATAAAGAACAATCGATGGCGGGGTTTGGGTAATGTAATACAGAATGAAACGGTGTTCGTTACACCTACTGACTTCTCCCCACTCCCTTCAGAGTGATACTTAGAAGGGCTGCAGGAGATGCTCTCTGGGTGACATTGTGGAAGGTAACTGGGGACTTTTCCTTAAAACTTCAAGGCCCTGTGCTGGAGGGGCCCAGGGGGTGACTTGGATGGGACGGGGATTCTGAGAGTTTCTATGCCTCCTGCCAACACCCCAACAAGCAGGCTGCTTATGACCCCCCTGGAAATTGGTCCACTCACTTGGAGAACTGGAGCATAGTCATCAAAATGACCCTCTGAGTCTGACTCAGACCCAGAGGTGAGTTAATCTCCCTCACACCAAAATCAACACCTCCTGCAAAGGGCTCTGCCTGCCATCCCTGGGAAGGCTCAGAACCAAGCCTGGCTCTCAGAGAATGAAGCTACATACGGAAGGGAAGCCGAAAGGCCCGGAGAGCAAAGGGCATTCTGGACTGGGAATCAGAGACCTGGGTTCCCGTCCTTCTGCTGACAAGAGCATTGAGACATCGCCCTGAGCCAGAGAGGTTTATAGGCAAAGTCTCCTTCCCTTCCCTCCTTGAGGCAGGTAGCTCCTTTATGCCCTTTATTTCATTTCTTTTTAGGGTTTTTATTCTTACTTAATTTTATGTACCGCCTCCCACTTTGTTTTATGGATAAAAAGACCGAGATTCAGAGTTGACTTGCTCGAGGTCACACAGCTAAACAGTTTTAGAGCCAGGATTCAAACCCGCATCAGTCTAATTTCAAAGCTACTAGCTTAACCTGCTGCCCTGTGCCAGTTCCCAAGGGGTGGCTTGTTGGGCTTATGGGATGGCCATCGTGAGAGTAAGAAAAGGGCAATGGATGGTGTGAGAATTGAGTCCTCGGAGGGAGTCGATGGGACAGAGAGGCAAAGCTCCTTCCTCACAGACAGGGTCATAATGGAGGCGATCTGAAGTGGCCAGTAAGGACCAGAACGAGAAAGCAAGTTCCCAAGGTCATGTCATTTAACTAGGACTCAACCCAGGTCCTCGGGCCTTGAGGCCAGAGCTCTCTCACTTCTCCGCCAGCACCAGGGGTGCATGACCTGTGGACCCCTCCTCAGGGGGCAGAGAGCAGGGCTGGTCATTGCAGATGCCGACAGTCTGCTTTCCACGGAGGGTCAGGCCAACTTGGGAAGGGAGTCCTACCACACAGGCTCCCAGTCCTTAAAGCCCTCGCTTTATGACAAATGACAGTGTGGGACTCTGGGGAAATCTGTGATATTTGGGAATGTCGTAAACTAAGGTCATTCTACTTTGTCAAAAACCCATAATGGAAAGCAAGCTGCTCTCAGAGCGAGGCTACTTTCCCGGCACAGGGAGGCAGCTCCTGGCAACTTCGGGGGTGGTGTAAGCACCTCTCAGGTAAAGAGCAACTGGGGTTGACTCAGAGGTCACCAGTCCATTCCTCCCTCCAAACAGGGCTCTCCCCAAACTCTCTCACGGAGAGGTGGTCTCGACATCACCACAGCCTCTCAGGAGAGAGATGCTCCCGCTGCTGCTGGCTTGCCCATCCCTGCTTGCTCCCAGTGCTGGGGTGAGAAGCGGGAGAGGGAAGGAGCCGGGGCCAGGCTGCTGTCAGGAGAATGATGCTGCATTCGTTCAAACAAGGCACTCCGCACGGAGCAGACTGATGGTGCCACTGTCAGCGTCACACTCTGGGTCATCAGGAAGGCTGCGAGGCGACTCAATAATTTAGCAAAATAACTCGTGTTCCAGGAATGCAGCCTATTTTAATAAGCAGCCACTCACTCACCCTTCCCCAGCGGTGATGGACGGCAGCCGGGACTCCAAGGACCCAGCAAAGCCACGCCGCAGAGCAAGCTTGGCTGGTTCAGAGCCTGGCCGGCTCAGGGAGGGAACGGGACTTCTGTTTCTGCCTCTGCCTGACCAGGTCCACAGGCAGCTAACTCGGCACAACTGGGGGAGTTGGGAGGAGGCACTGGGTCCCACCTCCTCATTTCACAGCCAAGGGCTTAGGAAGGGGATGGGGTAATGGCTGAGTAGTTCCTGTTAGACCAACCCTCCTGCAAACAGTTATACAATCTGGGGAAAGGAGAAAACACAACTACCTGAAGGCACTAGGGAGAGAACAAAGGTGGATACTAGAGCGGAGTAGACACTTGGAAGAAGGGAATGACACTGGGCAAGGTTAGTCCAAGGACAGACCAAAGTCAGCAATAAAAACTCCAGATGGCTAGAATTTAGACAGAAGACAGGCAGCCTTACTGGCTTGAAGAACCACAGGACAAATACAGGGTGGACTCGGCAACTAGAGAGTGGAAAGGGAAACTCCAGAAAGACAAGAGCCACAAAGAGGAAGCCCATATTCTTGGTAAAAATCTGCCCAAACTTCTGTCCCCTGAAATTATGTGTGTGGAGGGCAGGTTACAAGCAGCCCAGGTAAGGCTAACACTAGTGAACTCTCAGTTTGGAAATGGAGTTTATCCAAGTTAACTGGCTGATAAAACAAACAAGCAAGCAAGCAACAATAAACTGATATTTCCTAGAGGAGGGATGGGGAACGCCCGGCCCACAGGAGGTTCATTTGGTCTGGCCCTGCTGTTTTCATAGCAACAGAATTTTCAAGTTGATAATTTTGTATGGCCTGTGAATACTGTTACAAATATCCAAATGGCCCTTGGCAGAAAAAAGGTTCCCCACCCCTGCTCTAAAGGAACATAACAGAATTCAGTCTCTACCATCTCTGCTGTTCATAATAGTCAGCATACAATGAAAAATTACTAGACATATAAAGAAACTAGAAAAATAGTACCTACATAAGAGAAAAGGCAATCAATGGAGACCAACCTCGAGATGACCCAGTTGTTGGATTAGCAGGCAAGGATTTTAAAGTGGTTATTAAATCTATGGTCAGTGTCTCACAGGAAGTTACTAGAAAACCCCAAATGCCAGGACTTTGGCTTTTTAGCATAGAGTGGGTTTCCCCTCCACATGCTACCCACCACGATTCCTGCATAAATCCCAAAGAGGGACTAGGCCCGCAAGGAGGAAGCAAGGAAATCTGGAACCAACACAGATGCTCAGCAACTAGGAAGTGAACCGTCTGGTCTCTCACTCATTCCCTCATTTACTCTTCATCTGCTGTTTTTTCAACCCTGAAGCAATAATGCCACCTTGGGTCTAATACCTCACTGTTCTCCATTCTCCCTGCACTTTTCAAAGTACTTTCATATCCCTGCCTCACAGGACCCTGCAGGTAGGTAAGGCAAGGATCATTCATCATGGCTTGCCCAGGGTCATCCAACAAAAAATGTTCTCTCTTCCTTCCTTCCTTCCTTCCCCCCGCCCCGCCCCGCCACCTCTGCCTGTGACATGGGAGCATGTCATGATTTGCAGGAGCAGGATTCCCACAGGCAGTGGTTGAGATGCTGAGAGGGTGTTGACCTCTAGCCTGCACTCTGTTCTCCAAGGCATGGGACTTCATCTGCTCAGGGGAGGGGGTGCGGAGGGGGAATGGCTGTTCTAGGTTGGATTTCCCCCCAAAAGCAGACCTGAGAAAAGGATTCAAGGACAAGTCCTTTATTTAGGAGGTGATTCTAGAAAGCACTAAGAGGGGAATGGGAAAGTGAGACAGGGAAATAAAGGCAGCCAATGTAGGGTGTGCTATTGAACAGGTTACTGCTATGGGTGACCGAGCGCCTCTGGAATACACTCAGAGTTGTCCCGTCTATTCTCAGGGGAAGGAAACTGGGGTATTTACCTACCAGCTCCCTACCTGTTACTGGTAGAGGAATGCCCCCAAGGACATTAATTCTCAGGTGCCTCTAGCCTGACCTGCCGTTGCTCCTCTGGCCAGAAAGAAGCCCTCAGCAGAGCATCTCTGGGGTTTAGTGTGAAGAGTGAATACCAAGGGGATACAGGTGATGCACTGACCACATGTGTCACAGTGGCCTTTTACTAACTGGCAGAAAGGCAAACGCTGAGGGCCCAGTACCCTTTCCCTGCCCCGCCGTCTGAGAGAGGTACTCACCTGTGCCTGGTGCACTTGAACCAGTTGAGGATGTCTGTGCATCGTGTGTAGTAGATCTGGTCAAAGGGGTGTGCGTATGATTCTTGGACAGTCACGGCGTAGCTGAGAACCAGACGGGAGATGGAAGCCACAGTCAGCACTTGAGAGTCTGAGCTGATATTCAGGACGGGGCCTCCCTCCCCAGGGAAGCCAGGCCTCAGCCAAGTGTCCTGGGGCTCCAACACCCCTTCTCTCCCGCCCCACTATCCTCCTTCTGCCCTGGATACCCTTGGCATCCACACCTACCTGATGCCTGGCTGGATCTAGGACACATGCCTTACTGCCCTTTGGCCCTGCTCATTTCCTGAAATTCTAGTTATTTGTTCATTTAACAGAGAAAGAATAAAGGAGGGTTTAGGTTTATTCTATGTGGTTTTAGAAAGCAGAGCCAACAGTTTTAAAATATGTATTTAGCCCAGCCAGTGTGGCTCAGTGGTTGAGTGTTGCCCTATGAACCAGGAGGTCACAGTTTGATTCCAATTCAGGGCACATGCCCAGGTTGCGGGCTCAATCCCCAGTGTGGGGTGTGCAGGAAGCAGCCGATCAATGATTCACTCATCATTGATGTTTCTATCTCTCTCTCCCTTCCTCTCTGAAATCAATAAAAAATGTATTTTAAAAATACATGTGTTTAGATCTTTATGGTTTTCAAAACACCTGCATGGAAGTTAATTTTTGTAGCAACTCTGTGAAGTAAGTGGTCCCATTTTATAGATGAAGAAACTAAGGCTCAGAGAGAGGTGACTTGCCCAGGTCACACAGCTGGTAGCGATAACTGTCAGTATGTATTAACTGCCCTGCATTAAGTGTTTTAAACCCTTTTAATCCTCACACAATCTTATAAGGTAGGTGGCATTGCTATATCCTCATTTCACAGCTGACAAAACTGAGCATCAGAGAGGCTAAGTGACTTCCCCAAAGTTACCAGTTACCTTCTGCGCTCCCAAGGTGGCATCTCATTTTCCTGCCTGTTAGTTGTAAAAATGGACCCATGGGTGGAAGCCACAGGGAAGCAGGTCTCAACTTCACAAAAACAAGCCTTCCCTCCTGCCCACCCTGCCGGGAGTTGTATGAGAAGGCAGCCAAGCCAGAACATAAAGCACAGACTCACACCTCCTGTGCAGGCTGAGATCTCAGAATTCATTTTTATGTATGTTGGTACTATTCAGTGTTTTCCTCCCAGAAGGCTCATTGACCTGGGCCAGATGGCCAGGTCCAGGCTATAAAAGCCCGTCTGCTTTGCCTGAGGAAACTGTTGGTTTGCTTGCAAGGGGTCTGGGCAGACCAGCTCCCTGACTCAGTCCACAGCAGGCTCTCTGACGCCGGAAGTGTGAAAGGTCTAGAACTCAGAAAGAGGCCAGAGCAGTCAGCCCTGTCCAGGAGGGAGTGGGGTGGTGGGACATGCTGTTCTTCTGAAGCACTGAGGATGTCAGAGGGCCCTTGCTGAGCCTCTACCCGGCAAGCCATGCCTCAGAGGCACATATCTATGCAGACTTGGCCCAAAGCCCTGTTTTATCTCCAGGCTTGGAGAAACGGAGGCAGCTCCACATCCACCCCTAGCTTCCCCAAGGCCCCTTCCACTCTAAAATTCCAAATTCCATGACCCTGTGCTCTGACACTTAGAGGAGGGAGAATGAATGGATGAGAGTGCATGGGAGCTCTGGGTCAAGATTGAAACCTGTCTCTTGTTAGCAGCGTGTCCTTAGACATATAAGACTCCTATAAGCCTCCCTTTCCTCACCTGGAAATCTGTGCTAAATATTTCCAGGGATTTCATGTAGCTATTGTGAGAATTACAGAGGGCAATAGTAGTGTCTACATCTCAGGGTGGGGGGAAGATAATAAATGCAAAATGCAGTGTCTAACATGCTAGCCATCATTACTATAAGACTGGCAACAGCTTACCTCCTGTGCCAGGCACTGAGGAATATTTCCTCCCGGACCATGGTAGGGGAGCCAGAGCAAGACCCACCCACAGAATGGCCTCCCTGCCTTTGTTAAGCACTCAGGGTTCAGACAAACCCCCGCCCCCCAGCATTGGGGACAGTGGGTGCTCAGAGAAAAGGCATCAGCCCAACGGAGGGGGCGGGGAGGGGGTCATGAGGGACAGAGCTGGCTCTGCAAGAGTGCCCTGAGCCAAGCAAGTCTGTCAATGAGACCTTGAACCAACTCCAAGACTCGGGGTGAAGTGTGTGCCCCCGGTTTCATGGCTGGATGGTTTAACATGCTCATTTGCCAACATGCTAATGAGGGGCCAGATTAATCTGGTAGAGCTGGGCTTTACTAGCCTGGGGAGGTCTTTCCGCTGGGTTTTATGGTGGAGGTGTATAATTAACGAGGAGCCCGCCAGAAGCACTAATCCAGCTGGGAAGTTCTCCCCAAGTGGTCTCTGGGGACCGGGGTGTGTTTCTGGAATGACACAGACTAGATCCATCCATGTGTAACTGGCAAGAGAGCTCAGTTGGAAAAGCGGAGAAAAAGGAGGTGCTTGGTATCACAGGGCATCACTTCGAGAGGGTTAAAGATGCTCAGACCTCATTTTAGCTGTTAGGGTTAATCTTTGCTCTCCCACCAAAGCTACATATTCAGCTGACAGCCTTGTAAACCTGAAATGCCAGCTCTGTGCAGGCTGGGCTCAGAATATGTTCACATTCCAAACTTGTTCATGTTGGGCAGGTTTAGAAACTTAGGGAGTTTGGTTTAAGTTTGAACTGATCCACTGGTGCAAATGGGACCCAGACAAGAGGGAAATCAGGGTGGGCTTCCTAGAGGAGAGAGACCTATTTGGAGGCAGTAGGAAAGGCCAAGGTGAGCAGGGAAGGAGGTATGCGGGCAGGAAGCAACTGTCTCAATGGGGACGGGTGGACAAGTCAGGGCTGATGAGACTAGAGTCCATAAACCAGAGACTAATATGGAATTCCACCTGCTCACCTTCTCACCCACTGGGAAATAAAGGTCTAAATTCACCATAACCAGGAGGCCAAGGGGCCCAATCATCTCACGATCACCTTATGAAACCTTACATATTCCTCATGGAAACCTTATGAAAAATACATATTCCTAGGTTCTACCCCAGACCAATGGAATCGGAGTCTCAGGAGACTGCGTGTTTCATTCACATTCCCAGTGAGCCTGGTGTGCATAAAACCTGTGATAACCATTCCTACAAAGACAGAGTTGTCAACAAGAAAAGGCAATCAATTATTAGCTTTTTGTTCCGCAAAGCACTTTTGCGAAACTGGTTCCCTGACCCTCCAACAAGCCTGAGGTTCATTCTCCCCCCTCCCACCTTACAGAGGTGGAAGTAGGCTCAGAATGGTTAGGAGACATGCGCAAGGTCATAGAACTAACAGTTGGAAAACTCCAGACTGCAATGAACCAGGGTCTACTGGTCATAGATCTCGTGCTCTTCCCACTTCACTGAAAAGGGGCGCACTGCCTTCTGCTCCAGCCTACTCTGTGGGGACTCCCCGTAGAGGGCCAGTCACCAAAAACCATGCTGCTGCAGGCACTGTCCCTCCAGAGCCCCTGGGTGAGGGGCTTTCCCTGCCGTGAGACGGGACATTCACCCTCATGGGCATGGAGCATGGACCACCCCTTCACCTGTCCTCCTCCACCATCTGCTTCCCCCATCAGGCCCTCATCTTAATTTTATTCATTTGATTTATTAACATCTAAGTGGCAGAGTCATCCTGGTCAGCATGGCCAATCAATTCCAGGGTTTAATTTCGTTTTTCCTGATTGGGTCTCTGGTCACTGTCCTCTGCTCACCAAAATCAATACGTTAACCTTGTGCTTCAAAGTCAGACTGTCTGCAGGGCCCTGGCCTACTCCCCGAGGACCTCGTGCCGCAGCCGGCTCTTCTGCCTCTGCCCTCAACTGCCCTTCCCTGAGCAGCCCTCCAACCCCCTCCCCCATCTCCTCAGGGCAGGCTGCTGGCCGCCCACATGTCCAGGCCGCTGCACGGCTGCCAGTCCTGGGAGACCAGGCAAGACTTTATTGCATCAGAAAACAACACATCTGGACCAGAACAACTCACTGCACCCACCTGGCTGTGAATGGGCACTGGGCCTCTACTTCCTTGTCTGTAAAATGACTGGGAAGTGGGAATGCAGGGAGGAACACGAGTACATTGTCAACTGTGAGACTGCATCACTTAAATGGCCTGTCCCTCAACCCCCTGCACCCTGACCTCCCACCACCCTGAGTCTCAGACAGAATCTGTCCTGCTTTGTCCTGTCATTCAGCTCCATGCTGTCTCTCTAGCTGGACTGTTGGCCCTCAGTGGACAGCTTCTGGACCTCCTGCCTCTGCTTTTGTCCCGACAGAGCAAAGCTCAGGTGAGTGTCTGGCCATCTGAGACCCATGCCTTACCTCTCCCAGTGGCTGCACACGTTGGGGTCCTCGGGGTTCAGAGAGAGGACAGTTTGCAGGAGGGAGAAGACAATGAGCCCTGCCCCTGAGCGTGCCATCCCGGGTCCTGTGCAGGAGAACAAAGGAGGTAGCGTCATTGATCAGCCATGCTCCCTGGCATCTGTTTGGCGCTGAGACTTCTCACATGAAGCGGCTAAGCAGACCGGCTAAGCAGACGAAGTTTCCCATCATCGTTGCGCAATGAACATTTGATATTTTTACATGTGTAGTTTTGACTAATGCAGTAACACTTCGCGGGTTCTGAGTAACCAAGGAGTAGGAAGCCTGACTCAGGGAAAAGTCAAATCCCAAACCAGGGCATCTAAAAGTGTTTCGGCTTACGCACCGCTTTGAGACTCTAATGAAAGTTAGAGACTTTCTCCCCAGAAAAATGCCCCCACACATTTGGCTATGATTTCGGGGTGTGCTCAGGCCCATGAGCCCATCCCTGGACCAAGAGCCCTGATTTAACTACTTTACAGGCAACGCCCTCCCTCTGTCCCCTTCTCCCTCATCTTTGATGTTCTCTGCCCACTCACTTCCTCTCCCTACACCCCCTCCTGCCACGAAGAAAGAGAAGAAGGTGGCTGGTGTGGCCCTGGGGGAGCTTCCAGGCAGCTCTGGTCAAGCAAGCCACCCAGAGCTGCGTCTTGCTTCTCTGCTCCTACGGGATATAAAGTTACTGCCAGCCAGAGTGACATAAGTTACAGCACATGGTTCCCATGTGGGATGAAGAGCTTGGGCAGCTTGGTAGGGGGGTTCAGGGAAGCAGTTTGTTGAGCTCGATCCAAGCCCCTAAAGGAACAGCCTGTGACAGGCGTTAAGTGTGCCTACAAAGAACGCCAACCCCCTTGTCCCCAACAAAGGACTCCTCACAGAGAACCATTGAGGTGGGAGTGGCTGAAATGACCCCTGAGGACTTCCCAAGGGTTCCCACCGAGCTGGGGTACAGGGTGCTCCAGAGCCACCTCGGGGGACCTGGAATCCCTATGTGCTCACACATCGGCTATAGCCTAAAGGGACACCATGACTCAGAAGGGTGGCACCATTTCTCATGTGCACACAGATGCTATCATGATTTGATCAGAAGCTTTACTGAATTCAGAGTAGCTTTTCTTCTCAACCAGACACACTAAAAAAATGCAACTCCTATCGACTGGGGGGCAGGGATGGTATTAAAAATATGTTGACACTGGAAAGGGGTCCCCAGCTTGAAAGAAGGTTGAGCTTACAGATGAGGAAGCATCACCCGCTGTCTCCATGGGGACAGAGAAGAGGGGCAGGGATGCTGCACACGCCCCCTCCTGTACACAGAGGGAAGTTAAATGGAGCTCCTGTCTTCCTGAGAGGTTCGCCGCTCTCCTCCCCAACCCCAATATGTCCTTGTTAAACTCTTTCTTACCAGCTCCTTCAAAGATAAACAAATGTCGCCAATTCTGTAACGCCATGGGGGTCCAAATTAATGATTAATGAGGTTTTTCTCTCTATTTGAGATCTGGAAATAATCTGGCTAAATGTACTTTGAAAATCGGTTAGAAAGGAGAACAGGGATCCTGGTGATTCTGCTCAATATGCAGAGTCCGGGAGTGGGCAAGCCACAGCCACACCTCTCTCCCCCACCCCACCCCGATCCTGGTCCTCAGAGGAGCCCCTCTGCAGCTCGCCCTTCACAAACTGGAGTCTACAGGTCATTTCAACCCATTCTCCTCAGAGAGCAGATGCCCCCGGCTGAGGGAGAGCCTGCGCAGGATGCCGCACTGAGTCGTAGTGATGAGCATATTCTTCCAGGCGGGGTTTGGGCTGACCAGACATCAGAGAAATCACATTAAAAAATGAACTAAGGGACACCGCACCCTGAAAGGCAAGGAGCCTGAATGCCAACTGCAGAGGACGCCTCTTCTTGGTTCTCTCTGTGGCCCCGTCTCCTTACCTTGGCCGCCCCTGGAATCGCCAGCATTTTCCTGAAAGGACCCCCCCCCCTCAACTGCATCTTCAAACTTATGAAACTTAGAACAACAGAGGATGAGGCCACCTGACAAGAGGAGATTGTTCCTCTGGCCCCTTGGATCCATGGTGACAGGAAAGGGGTGGGAGACGGAGGTAACTTGGATCATTGCTATAACTGGGAAGATCTTTTTAAATCTTCATAAAAACCTCTTCCTTTCAGAGTCAGGTGTGGACAGGACAGTGTAGCTGACTCCCACTGGCAGTGGGATGCCTGGACACTGGGGCACAGAGAGGGTGATGGGTGTTTGGACGAGCACACAGGAAGTGGAGATGGACAGGGCAACACAAGGACACAGACAGTAGGTGGCATTTAGACCAACAGTCTAAATGAGTTAAAGGCTTACAGGGCAGGGGCTCCCCAGGCTTCACACCCTCGCCTTGAACAGTCCCATCCCCAGCATTTGCAAAGTTCCCCCTCTGAGGCCAAGTCCACCTCTGTAGTAGTGTGGCGAGGATGGGAGGGATTGTGGGGCAGTAGGACACCCAGGCTGGGGTAGAAATGATGATTCCTCTTGGATACGCCCTCAGACTTTTCCTTTGAACGTGGCCTCATCTACAATCTTATCACCAGCCCTCTAGCCTGGGTCAGGCTAGTCTTCCCTCCTGCTCTTCCTCTACCACCGCCCCCCACACCCAACCTGTTCACACTGCTCACCGGCCTCAATCCCCTTCTTCCTCCACTCAGCATATCCAAATACCATCCACACGAGGTCCAGCTCAGGCCCCGGGGCCCCTACTCCCCCTGCAGGGCTTGGCACCTCCTGGGTGCCAGGTACGTCTCACTCCGGCAGCCTAGAGCCTGGCCAGCAGTCCCCACTCCCCACCTTGCATGCCGTCTCCCTCACATGTTTACTTGATCTTTCCAACGTGTCTGTGAGCATCTTGAAGGTGGGGTCAGGTCCTGAGCTGCACTAGTCAATTCCTTTCGGGAACTGATTTCAGAAAAAGACATGTCACTGAGGCAGTGAAGAGCAGACACAAAGGAGCTGCTCCCTCATGGAGGCAACTCATGGCCATTCACTTTAAGGGGGCTTCCCTGGGATCGGAGGATGGATCCCAATGACACGTATGCTTATGCCCTGACTGAGGGAAAATCAATCCTGTCACAGCGGTTATTAGGCCGACTCCATTCGGAGTGACAGAGGTTAACGTATTGAGCACCATCCGTTAGGACATTAATAATTAAATAAGAAAATGCCCCTGTTCCCCTGCAGAGGAGGAGAACATGTAAGTAGATCAGGGGGTTCCCTTCCCTCTTGGCCCTGCTCCCTGCATATCAAGCAGGAGAGGAAGGGAGCCAAGTTCCAGAGGTGGAGAAGTGTCTTTCCCCGCAGAGGGAAAGACTTTACCCCTATGAACTGCGCATGGGGATCTGAGGGGAGAGAAGGTAGCCCGGAGGTGAGTCTCTCACACCTGCCCACGGGTGTAGTCAGTCTGCACCCTCGCCATGGCCCGAACTGACCAGCTGAGGGCTCCGGGAGTGCCACCTGCCCGGCCAGGGCTATGCTGCGAGGACACAGGAGTAACACGAGCCAGCTACAGTCTATTTGAGGAGACTAAAGCAGCTGGTGGTTCAGTCACACTGTGGAGTGGATGGGACTAAAGATGGACAGAATAAGGAAAGGTAGAGGGTCAAAAAAGGGGATTTCCAGGGCAGGCACAGCACAAGCAAGCGTGTGGAGGCAGGACCGTGCAGGTAGTGCTGGAGGGCCTGGGCAGCAGAGGGCTGCACTGCAGAGCTGTGGTGGGAAACACGGAAAACTGTGGGAGGCGTTTCCAGAATTGGGTTCAATGGGACACTAGGCCCGTGGGATAGTGATAGAAATCTCCCAGACAAAGGTTTCCGTGAGTGACTACGTTCAGGAGATGCTGCGTGCTCTGTCCTCACTTTAAATATCCTCACGTGTCTGAGCATACCTCGGGCTCCGAGAAGCCTGGAAGCAAGACCTCTTTTACTTGGTCTCACCCGGCTTCCCATAGAGCTCTTCGTAGTGACCACGCTAGGAGCAGACGTCCTCCATCAAGCTCAAGTCTGAAGGAAGGCCTGGTCCTGTCAATCTGCATCCTTAGAGTTCAGTCACTTGCTTATTCCAACACCCGAGGGCCTCTGCGCCTGGCAGGTGGTGTTGAAGGGAATCTGCCAATGGGTAGTTAAGAGACCCTGACATCATGGCAAAGAGTCCCTCCTCCCCGCCAGGGCCTTGGCTCTGGCCTGGGCAGCTCTGCAGGCTGAGCAGATCTTAGAGATAATGGCCTCCTCTGGAGGGCCTTGCCTTCTGCTGGGACCCCCATCACTAGCACCTGTAGGGTCCAGCCTGTCTTTCTGATGGCAGCACACACCTGGCCAGACACCAGCTGCTCACATTAGCCAAGATGCATAAAACTGGGGCAGAGGGCAGACAGACAAACAGATGGCCTCTGCCCTGGGATCCATTGTTATGACCTCACAGTCCATCTGTGCAAAATTCCGCCCCCACCGCTTCACTTCTGCCACCTGCCTAGTCCTCCTGACTGTGCCAAAATCTTCGACACTGGAGCCTGGTCCGCATACCTAGAACCTGCTCTCCGTTCATCCCAGTCTCCTCCAGGGAGCCCTTCCTTCTCAACAAATTTGCATTAGTGGCAGCGGTCAGCACTATTTTATGGGCCTTGGGAGGTTTCCACTCACACAAAACTGGGGGATCAATTGGTAATGACTTGTTGGACTGCTATGCTGAGAAATGGGGCTGAGTGGGAAAGCATGCCATGATTGATTAGTAATGCCTGTGGTGGGCACTGGATGGGAGGGGGACACACAGGTGCCATGCACTTTCCTCCCTGTCCTACGTTGCTGAGCAGTCGTCACTAACTTTGGAAATTGTCCCTCTCCTCTGTGAATCATCTAGATGTGGCCTCAGCTCTCGGGCTGGCCTCAGAACCTGCCATCACTTTCCTTCCCTTGGGACCGCTGACCACACTTCACAAGGACAGGGGTTTTGGTCTTTTATGTTCACTGCTGTCATCAGCACCCAGAGCGTTGTCTGCCACATCGCTTGTGCCCGGCCTGACAGAAGCCACTAA